CGTTCGCGCCAAACCTGCCCTCCCCGGCAGGCGGGAAAAAGAAGCAGGGTCTGCCCCCCCCCGCCGTTTTTCCATGCACTGCTTGTGCATGGCATGGCACTGGCTCGGGTGTCCCAAGCCCTGCATCACCACCCCAAGCAGGTACAGAGCCGTGTCCTGCTGAGATGGTGGACGGTCCAGCCCTGCTCCAGAAATGGGGCACTGTGAGCAGGGAGGTGCTGGGGATGCATGTGGCATTTCTGGCCATGGTGCCCGTGTTTGGGGGTGCATCAGGGCCCCCGTCCCTGCCCTGAGCATGGCTCCCACTGCCAGGCAGCCCAGCACCTACCTCGCTCGCAGCGGGTGCCCGTGAACCCGGGAGGGCAGATGCATTCGCCGACGTGGTCGTGGCAGACGCCACCGTTCAGGCAGTCAGGACAGTCCTTCTTGCAGGATGGTCCCCATTTCTTTGCGGGGCAGGCTGCAGAGAGAGCAGAGGGGGTGCAGGGTCGCACCCGGCCAGGGGCCAGCGTGTGGCTGCCCATCCCTGCGTCCTGGGGAGCCGGGTCCCCGCTCACCTCGCACGATCAGGCGGTAGAAGGCGCTCCACAGAGGGCTGTCCCCCATGAACGTGGCACTGTAGACCCCATTTTCGCTCACGCTGACGTTGGGGAGTGTCAGGGTGACAAGGTCACCCCTCACCTCGCCCCGGTCCGTGGTCTGGTAGTAGGTGCCTGCAAGGGGGCAGAGGGTGACCTGGGGCCCCCCTGTGCCCCCCAGGACTGGCACCAGGCACCGGCTAGGAGCAGCCCTGACCCCGCGCCTGCTCTCAGGACCACTTGCCATTTCTTTTCCACATAACGTCTGTCTCCTTCCTCTTGAGGACCCTGGCAGAGAAGGTGGCCGGTTCAGCGACATTCACAGACTGCGTGGCCTTCACCGGGAAGAGGTGGGCTGCGAGGGAGGAGGATGAGGAGGATGAGCAGGCTGAGCAGCAGTCACCCCCCAGGCCACTCACACCCAAGGGCAGCGCTGTCACCCCCAGACCCACAACCCCAAAAGGCAGCCCTGGTGCAGCCCAGCACCCACCACACATGTTTCTGCTGGGATGTCACGACATGCCTCCCCCATTGCCCCACCTGGGAGTCGGGACCCCTCCAGCCTCCATAGGGTCAGACCCCCAGGAGCGGGCTGGGGCACCCTGCCCTCTGGCCAGCCCAGGGCAGGAGGCTGGTGGCAGCAGCCTGGGGAGGTGGCAGCTGGGACAAATCTGCACAGTTCCACCCCGCTTGCTGCCAGCCCGGGGAGGTACGGAGCAGCTGCCGGCAGCGAGAGCAGGGCCGGCGAAGGGCAGCGAGGGGAAGCGGGCGTGCGGAGGGCGGCACGCCAGCCCACGGGACCAGCAGCCCTCTTGCGGCTGCTTTCCTCATCTCCCAGGTGCTGGGGTGTGCAGCAGCAGTGAACTCTCAGAGTATCATAGAATCATAGAATAGAATCACTTTGGTTGGAAAAGACCTTTAAGATCATCGAGTCCAACCTTTAACCTAACCCTACCATCCCACCGCTACACCATGTCCCTAAGCACCTCATCTATCCTTCTTTTAAATACCTCCAGTGATGAGGACTCGACCACCTCCCTGGGCAGCCCATTCCAGAGCCTGACAACCCTTTTGGTGAAGAAGTTTTTCCTAATGTCTAGCCTGAACCTGCCCTGGCGCAACTTCAAATCATTCCCCCTCGTCCTATTGTCCGTTACCAAAGCGAGCCAGCCAGAGCCCCGTGTGGAGCGCAACCGGGGCTATAAATACATTAAGGCCTGGGAAGCCAAGCCTTGGGCGTGCCAGGACAGACACAAAAGAGGGCACAGGCGGGCCCTGGCCCCGGGAGCTGCCTGCACGCCAGCTTGCACACACTGGAAGCAGCCGCGCCAGGTCGGAGCTAGGGCACATCCAGCCCCGCATCCTGCCCTGGCGAGGCCGGGGGCTGGGAGGATGCAGCACATGCTGCAGGCACCTGGGGAAGGGCACCGCAGCTCACGTGTCCCCAAATTTGCCTCCCTGCCTCCAGCAGTTTGCAGCCCAGGAGCTTCCCGAGTCAGGTATTGCCCCTCGAGCTGGGATCTTTCTACCACGGACTTTGCAGTCCCTCGTAAAGGGCACACAGATGTGGCCCCCGTCCTGTCTCGCTCTGTCCCGCTCTCTGGAGCGAGAGCCCGACGCAACCCCACGCACAGCACTTTGCATTTATTTACCTACGCTGAACTGCACCCGCCGCTCCACCACCGCTCGGCAGCGTCTGCAGCTCCTCACAGAGCTCGTCCCTCCCCGGGGAAGCCTGGGGAAGGCAGCTGGCACCGCCGCTTGTTCCGTGGTTTGTAAGCACCAGGAGTGGCGCAGGTCCCCGCAGAGACCCTGTGCCACGCCAGTGGGGACTTCCCCACGCAACAAGAACCACGAATTAACTCCTATTCCTGATCCCTTTCTTTTAGCCAGTTATTGACCCATGTGGAGACTGCCCCTGCCAACCCCTCCATGCAGAGTTGCTCCCAAAGAGCCTTTGAAAGGGAATTTTCTTAATTTTCTCTGGAAACCCGAGCAGGCAGCATGAGCCAGGTCACCCACAGCATCCTCACCGCTGCCACCTCAGAGACCCTCCCACTGCAAACTCACGCCGCCTCTTCCTCAGGTACCACATAGCCACAAATTCTGCTCTTTGTTGTGGTTTCTGTTAATTTGCCTGGTTCCAAACTGGGTTTACAGGCCTGTAACTCCTGACCCAGAAAGCTTTTAGGAAAGGCTGGTGTCCCCCAAAGCACCCTTGCCACCCACCCTCTCTGCTCAGCCCCCCTGGGCACGGCACAGCCCCACTCACGGCAAACCCGGCCTGGCCACGCGGTGCCGCGTCGTTTGGCTGCTTATCGCCCGTCTCCTGCTATCAGCGCCAGCATTTTAGACAGATCCCCTGAGAAGTTTCCCCAGCTTTTCTATTGGGCACATGGATGCAAAAATAAAAGAATTTTTTTTTTTTTCTGCAATGGCCTCTCTGGGTATTCTAAAAAAATAGGTTATTGCCAGGTTTAAACTGTTCTGACATTGCTCCTCATGACCTTTTTTGTCTGTTTTACTGTGTTTTTACAGCAAAACTTCCAAAGTTTATCATCCTTCCTGTGTTCTTCTTTGTGCATGACCTTTTGGGAGATGCCAGCTTTCCTCTAGCAGCATTCCCCAGCCGCTGCTTCACCACCCTGGCCTGCTTTGGTGTGCTCTCGGGCTTAACAGGAGAGACAACAGGCACCGAGCCTCCCCGGTGGGTTCTGTACACAGCCCTCCCTCCTCCTGCAAAGATGGTTTTTTTTTGGTTATTTTTATCTTTGATCCATCTTCTTAATTTTTTTTTTTTTCCTTCTCCTTCTCTAAACTTAACAGAGCAACAGCAGCTTGTTTGGCACTTGGAAAAAAGCCACTTTTTTGGCGCTTGTAACTCCTGCAAGGGCTTGGACCTGGACACCAACCAGCTCCTCCACAGCAGTATTTTGGCCTGGCTATGGTGATGCAGGAGTGGAGGGCTGGCCTGGACCCCTCCACCATGGGATGCCCCATCATCCCAACAGGACCCCAGAGCTGTCACCTCCCCCAGGACTGACACAGAGGGACATCTAGGGGTGCACAGCCCCCTGCCACCCTCCTCTCCCCTCGCCACCAGCCATGCCCCCCCACCCCCCGCCATCTCCCCCTGCCTCTGCCCTCCTCCCTCGGTGCTCTGCCACTCCACTTGCCCAGACCGGCTGACTCTGTTTCTGATAGGACCGCAGCCATTTTTGGGTCCAGGCTCTGGCTGAAGATGCAGGCTGCACCCTGCTCCTTGGGGGATGCTTGGACCCTACCAGCAGCCTCTGTTCCCCAGCTTGGAGATAGCAGAGCTGCTCAAAACGATATGCTAAAGCTGTGTTTTAACACAGGCAGGGAAACTTGTATCCCCCTCGTCTCGTTCTCAGCAAAAGGCTGGCTGTTTTAACCAAAACTTTATAAATAAAGGCTAGGCAGCACCCTGAGGCAAATAACTATCACAGAAAATTTTATTTCTAACAGTGTTGCAAAGCCTCAAGCCGGGGGGAAGCGGAGTTTGGGGGGACGCTGTGGGAGAGTGCTGCCCAGGGCAGTATCCCCGCCACCGGCCAGCCCAGGCAGGCCCTTTTGGCCCAAAATGGGAGCGGAGGACAAGAGCCCAGCACTGCCCTCGGCTGTGGTGCACCCTGGCAGTGCCTCTTGTGGAGACCCCACCGCCAGAGCGGTGATGTGCTGCTGCAGCACAGTGCTTGCCGGGCGCCCGGGGAGGCTGCTGGAGATGCTCCCCAGCATCACCTCCTCCCTGGGACCCCATGGCAGGGGCATGAGGCCGGCACAGCTCCCATGGGCTGCCCCCCGCCCTGGTTAATGATTTCCAGACCCCACCACCTCCTCCAAGGGCGCCTGGCTTCCTCCTGGACCTTGCCCTACCGCCGGGCACCATTCCCAGCCCAGCCGGCTGCCCATGCCGCCACCTATCCCCACATGCCTCCGCGGGGCTCAGCCGTGCTCCTCCAGCTGGACATCCCTCCCCTCTCCATCCTACTGGTGCCAGCAGACCCCAAACCTCACCCGAGGTATGCCATGCCAGCTGGCACTGGGATTGTGGAGCACGGGGCAGGTAGCTCCCATGTGGACCCAGCTGGCAGGTGGGGGGCTGCCCACTGCCCCCCCGGCCACTCACCATTGTGGCTGTTGTGCACGTAGACCACCTGGGCCTGCTCGGTTGGGGTACGCCCCAGGCAGTAGAGGATCCCCACCAGGTCGGCCATGGAGAAACCCCTGGCCTGGACGTGGTTGCTGTGGTTGCGGTAGTTTTGGAAGCCCGTCCTGGGGTGCGTCATCACGATCTTGTTCTCCCGCTCGATCTGCAGGTAGCTCACGTCGCGTTCCCCCATGACACAGGAGAGGAAGAAGTCGGAGTGGGACAGGCTCTGCACGTTGGCGATCAGGGTGATGTCCAGGATGGCCCCTGGGGTGGGGGAGCACGAGGGCATGTCACGACTGGACAAGGGCACAGTCATCTGCCCTAGGGCCAGACTCCACCACCCAGATGTCACCCCCTTTCCAGGACACTTTTGCCACCCTCAGCCCAGGAGGAACAGCCAGGGCACAGCCAGGTCGGGTGCAGACCCACTGGGATGGCATGGTGGGCACCTCCACTCTCCTTTTTGAGATCCCCATGTGCTCAGCACCCCACCATGAGCCAAGCGTGCAGCAGGATGGGGGTCCTGGGGCCCCTCTTCACCTGCAAGATGCCCTCCGTGCCTGGGAGAGGCAGGCAAGGGAGAGCACTGCCGGCCTCTGAGGTCTCCAAATGGCCGATCACAAAGGGATGGGTCCTCCCTCCAAACCCTGCTCCCATGGCGCCACTGAGCTCCCACAGCTGCCTCGTCCCACCCAGCCTCCCTGAGGCAGGGGCTGCTCCCTGGGGCAGAGGGAAAGGGGCCATTTACCTGCCAGCCATGGGAGGAGAAGCAGAAGATAAACTTGGAGTCCCATGTCCTTGGAGCGTGTCTCGAATCTGGCACAGGTCAGAAAATCTCCGGCATGTCCCAGCCACGGGGGTCAGAGCTGGAGGCTGTGGCTGCCTAGGGGCTCCACGTAGGCAGCAGCTCAGGACCCCTGCTCCTTGCCCGCGCCCTCCATCTTGCCTCCGCCCCGCTGCTTGGCGTCTGGGGGAGCTGGGACCACCTCCTCTGGCACATAGCCTGGGCACGGTAGGAAAGTGGCCCTGTTGCTGCTTGCTTGGTGGCCACCCAGCTGCTCAGGAGGTGGTCCCCTGCCCTGTGGCAGCTGTGCCGGGGAGCAGGCACTCACCCCTCCAGGGCTAGGGCTGTGTGCTCAGGGCTCCCTGAGGCATGCTGAGCCCCCAGCCTGGCCGGGACGTGTCCCGACCCCCCTCCTCGCCTGCCTGGCAGAGGGTCTTATGCTCCAGCCTGCCTGGGCGGCAGCATCCCCGTCCCCTCGGTGCAGCCTTGCGGCCGACGGCTGCGGGAAGGGCTCTCTGGAGCAGGGAAAGGAAAGGAAAGGGGCCAAGGGGCCCCGGCTGGCGGCAGCGGTGGAGCCAAATCCTGTTTCCCATGCGGCGTTTCCTGCTCTCCACCCATTGTTTGGAGACAGGCCTGACTCCAGGAGCCGGCGGAGCTGCCCCACACAGGCTCTCCCTCGGCGAGCGGTGTGCAGCGATGCTGAGGCCGTACACACCTCATGACACCTCGGCCTCCCGCTGCCACAAGCTGGGGCGCTGAGGCATGGCCCCACCTGGGCTCCGTGTTGTGCCAGGGTCCAACTCACGCCTGCAGCAGCCCATTGTGGGGCCAGTGTCCGGATTGAAAGGGGCTGAGCGGGAGCACAGGGCAGGGTGATGAAATCCAGCCAGTCCGCGTGGGAAGATGGCCACTGCCAGGAGGACAAAACCCTCCACAGAATCATAGACTCGTCTAGGTTGGGAAAGACCTTTAAGATCCATGTTGCAGTAAACATGTCTGGGAGGAAGTGGAAAGCAGGGAAAGCCTGGCTTTCCCTGAGCACTTTCCCATGCATGGCGCTGGCACGGGCCCCAGCACGGGCACCACTGGCACGGGCATGGCACAGCATGGCCCTGCCGCCCCCCAGCCCCAGGGGATCGCACACCCAGCCCTCCTGTGAGGCTGCCCCGGCCTCCGGCGGGCGCTGGGCTCTTCACCTGGCAAATGAAAGGCACTCCTAGGAAATCACCGTAAGCTTCACCCGCTAAACCTCACGCTGCTTCACAAACTGAGCTGTTCCCACGTGAAAGCCAGGGCTGCCAGGGAGAGAGCCTCATGTTTTGGTGTGTCCTGAGCCCATGCTGTATCCGGCCAAAAATCTAAAGCACACATGGAGAGGAAGGGGAAATCCATTCATCACTTCCGACTATTTACAGTGCGCTCCGGGGCCGCGCGGTGCCCGTGGCATGCCGAGGGAGGGATGGCAGGGGGTCCCCAAGCGCAGCCACCCAGCCACCCCACAACAGGAGGGATGGAGAGGTGCCCAAAAAGATGGACACTAGGTACAGATGCCCCCAGTTGCCTGGAAAACTAAACACAGTGCTTTGCCATGGACTGTGCATAAATGAGGGGCTCTGGTTTTAGGAGACCCCCGGGGCACCTGAGGCACAACCATGATGCAAATGCAGAGCATGAGGCCGCCCCACAGCGGGATGCAGAGGGGCTGAGGGGCCAAAGCTGGTCCCTCCTGCTGTTGGTGCCCTCCTGGGGAACCCCACACCCCCATTTCCCTGGCCAACCCCAAGATCATTTGCAAGCACGCTGGGTCAGGGACTCACCTGCGCACTCGGCACAGCCGCAGGAAGGGGATGGATACCCGAGTAGGTAAATAAATGGCTTCTTCCTCTGGTTCACTGGCTGTAGAGGCCAGTCACGCTCAGAACCATAATTGCCATCGTGCCGCTGCATGCTTACGCGTGCTGCACCTGGGGAAGCAGCTCGTTCTGTGCTCCTCCGGCAGCACACAGGGCTGTGGGTTACGATGCACTGGTGAAATGTCCTCCGACAGAAGGTCCCATTTGAGGTCAGGAGTATTTACACAAAATAAACATGCTTTATGGGAATGCTTTGCAACCGCGGGCTCTGCGGTGTGCTCCTCCAGGGAGCAGAGCATGGATCCTCTTACTGCCCAGGGGGAACCGGGGCATTGCTTTGCTCTTTTGGGGAATGGGAGCCATTCGGGGTCAGCTCTCTGCACCAGGTGATGGCCAGGAGATCTCAGGGATCCATCGAGGGATCTGACCCAAGCTGATTTGTCCCCTTGCATTTTTTTCTAGGACACCTGGATAAGAGGTGTCTACCTGTGCAGATCCATCGGGTTGGAGGTGGGGTAGGAAATCTCTTTGGGAGGTTTTGTGGCCCCAACCAGGACCCTACAGCTCCAGTTTAACCTTATGTATCTCCAGAGGAGGAACCAGGGAGCTGGGTGCAGCCGAGCCCAGACAAAGCACCTCGCCATGCTTGCTCCCCTGTAATATAGAAAGCTCCAGCTGCCCAGCCCACAGCACACTGAAAGCACCTGAATTTCTGCTGAATTCACAGACCTCAAGTTTTTTGCTGAATCACGACAGACTAAAAAAAAAAAAACAAACAAGAGTGACAAAAATACCCCTTTTTGTTATCATTTGCACATTCTAATGCACGGCACTGCATGCCAGAAACCATAACACACCGATACATTTCCTGATAGGAAACGCGAACGCCCTGCGAGGCTGCCTCAGCAACATTTTCTAGCCTTGTCTCCTGGCTCTTTGTTTTGTTTTACGTGCACGGCGGGTCCTGGGGAGGCCCTGCAAAGCCAGGTGAAGGGCTGCTGCGGCCAGGCATGAGCAGCCTGGAAATGTGGTGGCCGAGCATCCCCAGCTCGCCCGGTCGCATTGGCAGGGATACTGGGGAGCAGGCGGCTGCCTGGCTGCGCGGGTGTCCACCACGTGCTCACAGGATCAAGGGTGGGCTGCTGGGAAGCCTTTTCCCTGAGGAAAGGGTGGGACGCGTGGCTGTGGAGTAGCTCCTTGGCAGCTGGGGGAAGCGGGGCCGCCCTGTCCCGCCTGCTGCTGGGGTGGAAACTGCAGAGCCGCAGCGCTCTTGCTGGCAGGCGGCTTCCTGCTGTGGAGCGGGAGCAGGAGCGGGGAGCGGGGAAGAGATCTCGGGGCTCCCTCCTGCTCCAGAGGCAAAGCCGGGAGTGGGCACTGCCCACCTCCCTGCCCAGGCCGTGGCTCTGCCAGCCCTTGCTGGCTCAGCCACCCTGGCACCCATGGCCATGGGTGCATGACCCGCTCAACCACATGCCAGTAACCACCAGCACGATGCTGCTTGGACACCATTTCCCAGATTTTCACTGATTCCACGGCAGGGCTGACAAGGAGCACTGTGATGAGCAGCGGGGCTGTGCAAGGGGTGCCGGAGGCCGTGGGGCTCCCCTGTCCTCTGGGACCTTCATAGGAGCCCCGGGTGCATCTCAGGGAAGTCACATTTCTGTTAGCGACTCCCTGATGCCGGAAAGCCAACACCGCTGCGCCACTGCAGGGCCCAGGGACCTGCCTGTTGGCTGCATGTTTTAAACACTTTTCCACCTGAATCCAAATGAGACTTTTATTTTCCTGTAGGAAAATTTCCTGCCACCTCAGCCCCAGCTTCTTCAGCCAGGACTTGCTGGGTGCCCTTGCCCTTGCCCTGAGCGTGTGGGGCTGAGGCTCAGCTCCAGGGCTGGACTCGGGCTGCTCACCTCCATCACGGCCGTATCGGGGAGGGTGCCACAGAGGTGCCCCCCTCCTCCTCTGGCCTCCCACACACCTCCCAGTGCTCCACTCCCAGCGAGGCAGCCCCCACGGCACCCCAGGGTCCACCAGGCAGATGCTGGCAGTCCCCCGGTGGGTCCCCCGTCATGGGAGGCGGTGGGTGGGAGGTGGCGGGGCGCGGTGGTTAATGTGTAACCGCTGCCGCCACCT